AAAAATTTTTTTTTAAATTTTAATTTAAAAACGGGAAAGGGGGTAACTAACCCCTTGCTCCCAGTATTTTAGATGGACTATAATTTCCTCACTAACAGAACACAGAAAAGTAGTAATCAACAGAGTAAAGTCCCGAGGCAGCTACTGTGAAAAGCTCTGTTCCACAAGGAAACATTTACTCGCTCCCATCTTGTTCCTCATCCTCATATCCGACATAGACAAGGATGTCAGCCACAGCACCGTTTTCTTCCTCTGCAAGATGACACCCGAATCTGCATGACAATGTCTTCATTGCAGACACTGCAAGGCTCCAGGCGGACATCAACCAAATCTTTCAGTGGGCTGCAGAAAACAATATGAAGTTCAACGATGAGAAATTTCAATTACTCAGATATGGTAAACATGAGGAAATTAAATCTTCATCAGAGTACAAAACAAATTCTGGCCACAAAATAGAGCAAAACACCAACGTCAAAGACCGGGGAGTGATCATGTCGGAGGATCTCACCTTCAAGGAACATACCTTTGTATCAATCGCATCTGCTAGAAAAATGACAGGATGGATACCTGGAGTTTACCTGGAGAGAGTTCCGGGGGTCAACGCCCCCGCGGCCCGGTCTGTGACCAGGCCTCCTGGTGGATCAAGCCTGATCAACCAGGCTTTTTGCTGCTGGCTGCACGCAAACCAACGTACGAGCCACAGCCCCGCTGGTCAGGAACCAATTTTAAAGGTGCTTGTCCAGTTGCCAGCTTGAAGACTGCCGGGGGTCTTTTGGGTAATCCCCCTTATGTAGCGGGGAGGCAGTTGAACAGTCTCGGGCCCCTGACACTTTTTGTATGGTCTCTTAACGTCCTAGTGACCCCCCATGCTTTTCATTGGGGGAATGTTGCATCGTCTTCAAAACTGGGAAGGCCAAGCCCATGATGACACTCTTCGGGTCACTAGTTCTATCTAGGCTGAATATTGCTGCACACTAACAGCCCCTTTTTCAAGGCGGGGGAAATTTGCTGACCTAGAAAATGTTCAGAGAACCTTCACACGGCGCGCATAACAGAGATAAAATGCCTCCCAATTACTGGGAGCGCTTGAGGTTCCTAAACCTGTATTCCCTGGAATGCAGGCGGGGGAGAATTTCATGATTATATACACCCCCGGAAAATCCTAGAGGGACTAGTAAAGGAACTTGCACACGAAAAATCACTCACTACGAAAGCAAGAGACTTGGGAGACGATGCAACATCCCCCCCCAATGAAAAGCAGGGTGTCACTAAGCACTTTAAGAACCATACAATAAGTGTCCCGGGGCCCGAGACTGTTCAACGCCTCCCCGCATACATAAGGGGGATTACCAACAGACCCCTGGCAGTCTTCAAGCTGGCACTGGACAAGCACCTAAAGTCGGTTCCTGACCAGCCGGGCTGTGGCTCGTACGTTGGTTTGCGTGCAGCCACAGTAACAGCCTGGTTTTATCAGGCTCTGATCCACCAGGAGGCCTGGTCACAGACCGGGCCGCGGGGGCGTTGACCCCCGGAACTCTCTCCAGGTAAACTCCAGGCCTCCTACGGCATGTTAACTTTGCCAGATGGACTATTGTCAAATCTGTGCCATTATGTATTGGATTACAATAAAATTTAATGAATTCAAAGACAACTCGCTCAGAAATGTTCAAGATAAGTCAAAGTACTTTATCCACAGTGGTATATTACAAACCATTCTGGAAAAATACTCTCACTTTGCTCACTGTAAATAAAGCTAATCTTCGCATTTAATAACTCATTGCAATTGTGATCAGGTGTAGACATGTAAAGAGTTCATTACCTTTGTAACTTGTTCAGCTATCAAAACTTTGGGGCCCAGTCCCTGGACCCATTAAGTACCTCTGTAATCTTTTTGACTACCCCCCACAGGATGGAGTGCATAATAAAGATATTAAACGAACTCTTACGACATGCATGGCTTATGGCTTGCTCCTCTTGGTACTCTGCCTTGACAAAAAAACAAAAAGATAGACGCAAATCAACCCAGAACAAAATCGTAAATTCCCTCCTGGGCTGGGACCAAGAGAACATTTTAGGCCCCCATGAATTACAAGGGAGTTGAAAATTTTGCTGAAAATTTTTAAAAACGAGAAAAAAAAACTTAAGCTAAAACAAAAGTTTTTTTTAAAAAATTTCTTCCCCCAAACAATGTCCAGAATTAATCGCTTCAATTTTGTCCCGGTTGGGGAAACCAAAACAATCATAGTAATAGGGGAGAGAGCAACAACTTTGTAGTACCCCCCAGTTTATGGCCAGGGGTTCCCAAAAACCTTTTAAATTTTACAGCAATAAAGGAATGGAACAGACAAACCCCCACATGCAAAGCCATCAAGCGTGAACCAGTCAAGAAGATGCCAAAAGGTGTCTGAAAGAATGAACTACAGAAAGGGGGGGGAATGATTTTCTAAAATTTTTTTTCTAACATAAAACTGTAAAAATTTTTAAAACCCTTTCCTTGAAAAGACCCTCGATTTTTTTTAGATAGTCTTTTAAGGGCCTTGGTGTAGCAGATATCTTTTAAATATGATAATAAGATGTTATCTTCAAATTTTGAAAAATAAGAAAATATTATAACCTTTAAAAACTATAATAGGGGAAAAAGGGCCCCAATGGAAATAAGTCACCCCCTTTTGACTTTTTTTTTTAAACCTAGTTCTCTACACATATGGGTGCAAAGTATGATAAAATTTTTATGTAAATGTATTTGTGGTTTTAAAACCCCTTTTAATAAAAATTACTTACTTCTTACTTACTTTTGGGGAAAAATTAAAAAAAAGTATGGGACCTTCAAATTTTCCCCTCTTAAAAATATTATCTGTAGTGTTTTTTGGCCGCTGTGGATATTCTTCAATTAACCCGTTTCTACAGAGCCACAAATGGTGTTGTTGGGAGAATACTGTCATCAAAGGAACAACCACACTGCCGACCCCCCCATTGTTCCTGGACCCGGGGGTGTACCAGTCTCATACTGGATTCCCACTGAAAGCTTTAAAAGTCTTTTTCCCCTCCCCAAAGGGAAAATTATACATATCTTAAAAATTTCCCCCGTTTTGTCCGAATATTTTTTTCAGTAACAGTGGAAACCCCCCCTTAACATCACCACCAAAAGCGACCAATTATGTAAGGTATTTAGTAAGTGCTTTTTTACGTGTATGTTTTGGGGGTCTGAAAAGGACTAATCTACTTCACAATATTTTCCCTTTTGGGAAAAAAATTTTGCTCAGTAAACTGGCACCTGAACCCTACTACCCGGAATTTAAAAAAAATTTTGGGTTAAAACCGGGGGGGCCACTGTATTTCATTTGCTAGAAGTTTTTTTTAGAATACTTGCATAAATATATCAAAGCACTACAATGTATGATACACCAGTAGATCATATATAGAGACAAAAAGATGACAAGAAATATGTGATATCTTAATATGCAATTTAACCACAGTTAAAGGAAATTAAATTTATAGTGCTTTCACAAACTCTGTCACATTCTAGCTGTTCCAAGAATGTAATGGAGAGGTCACAGAAGTGTCTGGAATCTAATTATTCTGTATTCCATTATGGTTAAATTACTTACATATTCTATTCTGAGGTTTGCATTTTTTTTCATAGTCACCCCTGAGAGCAGTGATTATGGATGGGTCAGTGTTCAGTGTGAGCCGTGGCTATGGTCAGTCCCTGGTTCTCAGTCCTCAAGAACTCTCTGTTGACCCTGATAACCCATCTGATCAGGTTTGTTAAAATGTTGATTTGTTTTTTCTTAACAATAATTTTTTTCAATGCACTGGCCATATCCCACTGAGGCAGGGTGACCTTAGAAGAAAAATAAAAGTTTTTCCTTTTAAATTTTGTAATTTATACAGGAGTTACTAGCCCTTGGCTCCCTGCATTTCAGTTGCCTCTTACGACACGCATGGCTTACGAGGGAAGTGTTTAAATGTGTATAAATCATACAGCTTCTTGGAAATGGGAGGTAATCAGGTTTGAATACAAAGAAGGGGAGGAGTGCTCCAATTCCTCAGATCTTGAACTCTTCAGCACTGAAGATCACCAACTTCCCAAGATGCAGTTCCTATTGTAGTACTGGCATCTTATCTCTCTCTCTCTCTCTCTCACTCTCTCTCTCTCTTGTTCAATACTGATCAGTCTTGCTTATACCTCTTGTTAGTCCCCTTAGAGTTTATCATCCCACATTGACAGCAGTCTGAAATCAATACCTCTGATACCTCTTTAGTTGTAGTTTCTACATATTGTTTCTGCGTATTGTTTCTACAGAAGTTAGGGTTTATTTTGCCTAAAAGAGGAATTAAAGGTGAATTTTTATAGTACGTATATATGTATGCACCTGGAGAAGAGAGAAGTGTAGAGGAGAGAGAGAGATTTTGGGAAATGTTGAGTGAATGCGTGGGGAGTTTTGAATCAAGTGTGAGAGTAATGGTGGTTGGGGATTTCAATGCTAAAGTGGGTAAAAATGTTACGGAGGGAGTAGTAGGTAAATTTGGGGTGCCAGGGGTAAATGTAAATGGGGAGCCTTTAATTGAGCTATGTGTAGAAAGAGATTTGGTAATAAGTAATACATATTTTATGAAAAAGAGGATAAATAAATATACAAGGTATGATGTAGCATGTAATGAAAGTAGTTTGTTAGATTATGTATTGGTGGATAAAAGGTTGATGGGTAGGCTCCAGGATGTACATGTTTATAGAGGGGCAACTGATATATCGGATCATTATTTAGTTGTAGCTACAGTTAGAGTAAGAGGTAGATGGGAAAAGAGGAAGGTGGCAACAACAAGTAAGAGGGAGGTGAAAGTGTATAAACTAAGGGAGGAGGAAGTTCGGGTGAGATATAAGCGACTATTGGCAGAAAGGTGGGCTAGTGCAAAGATGAGTAGTGGGGGGGGGGGTTGAAGAGGGTTGGAATAGTTTTAAAAATACAGTATTAGAATGTGAGGCAGAAGTTTGTGGTTATAAGAGGGTGGGGCAGGAGGAAAGAGGAGTGATTGGTGGAATGATGAAGTAAAGGTGTGATAAAAGAGAAAAAGGTAGCTTATGAGAGGTTTTTACAAAGTAGAAGTGTTATAAGAAGAGCGGAGTATATGGAGAGTAAAAGAAAGGTGAAGAGAGTGGTGAGAGAGAGAGTGCAAAAGGAGAGCAGATGATAGAGTGGGAGAGGCACTGTCAAGAAAATTTTAATGAAAATAAGAAAAAATTTTGGAGTGAGTTAAACAAGTTAAGAAAGCCTAGGAAAAGTATGGATTTGTCAGTTAAAAACAGAATAGGGGAATTAGTAGATGGGGAGAGGGAGGTTATTAGGTAGATGGCGAGAATATTTTAAGGAACTTTTAAATGTGAGGAAGAAAGGGAGGCAGTAATTTCATGCACTGGCCAGGGAGGATCCCATTTTTTTAGGAGTGAAGAAGGCAAATGTAATTGGGGGGAGGTACTGGGCATTACGAGAATGAAAGGGGTAAACACTGGAACTGATGGGATCGTGACAGAAATGTTAAAAGCGGGGGGGGGGATAAAGTTTTGGGGAGGGGTTTGGGTATTTTGTTTAATAAATGTATGAAAAGGGGAAGGTACCTGGGGTTTGGGCGGAGAGCATGTTAGTCCCTTTTGAAAAGGGAAAGGGGCAAAAAGATTGAAAAAATTTATAGGGAAAATTTTACTGAAAACCAGGAAAAGTATGGTGGGGTTTATAATTGAAAGAATTTAGAGGTAAGAAAATGTAGGTTTGCAGATGAGCAAGGAGGTTTCAGAGTGGGTAGGGGAGTGTAGACAAGTGTTTACATTAAAGCAAAAATATGAACAGTATTTAGATAAAGGTAGGGAAGTTTTTATTGCATTTATGGGTTTAGAAAAAAGGGAAATTTAAGGTGGATAGAGGAGCAATTGGGGATGTTCAAGTATAAAGGAATAGGGGTAAGTTCTAAATCGTTTAAAATTTTTTTGAGGATATGAGGCTCAGGTTAGGGGTGTAGAAGAGAGGGGGAATACTTCCCGTAAAAGTAGGTCTTAGACAGGGAGTGTAATGTCACCTGGTTGTTTTTAATTTTAGATGGGGTTTTAAAAAAGTAAATGCAGGGGGTTCGGGGGAGGGGGGGGATTTAAAAGGGGAAAAAAATTCAAATGGAATTGACACAGTTACTTTTTGCTGATGATACGTGCTTTGGGAGATTCTAAAGAAAATTGAAAGGTTAGAATGAGTTTGGGAATGTTTGTAAAGGTAAAAGTTTAAAGTGAACATAGAAAAGAGTAAGGTGATGGGGGACAAAAGATTTTGATAAAAAAAAATTGGATATCAAATTGTGGAGGGGGATATGGAAGAATGAAAGTTTCGATACTTGGGGGTTTTACGGGCGGGGGGTGGATTTATGAAGATGAGGTTAATAAAGAATTGATGAGGGGAAAAAAGGTTTAGTGGGGTTGAGGAATGGAGTCAAAAAAACGTTATCTATGGAGGGAAAGAAGGAAGTATGAAAGAAGTAGTACCCAAAACTCTTATGTGGATGTAAGCTTGGGTGGGAAATGCAGCAGCGAGGGACTTGGAGGAGGGGAGAGTCCCGTCTAAGGCAAGTGTGGTGTAAAATTTTTGAAAAATTCGGGGTGTGGAAATTAGGAAAAGGGTGGAGTTTAAAGCATTAGTCAGGGGAAAGGGGGTTGTTGAGGTTTTGGTATTTAGGAGAAGGGTCAAAGTAAATGACATGGAAAGCATAAAATCAAAGGGGAAGGAAGTCGAGGGAGGGGTATCCTCGAAAGGGGTTTGGGGAGAGAGGGGGAAAAGGGGGTTTTGTGGGCAGGGGCTTGGACTTCCAGCAAGCGTGCGTGAGCATGTTAGATAGGAGTGAATGGAGACGAATGGTACTTGGGACCTGATGATCTGTTGGAGTGTGAGCAGGGTAATATTTAGTGAAGGGATTCAGGGAAAATGGTTATTTTCATATAGTCGGACTTGAGTCCTGGAAATGGGAAGTACAATGCCTGCACTTTAAAGGAGGGGTTTGGGATATTGGCAGTTTGGAGGGATATGTTGTGTATCTTTATACATATATGCTTCTAAATTGTTGTATTCTGAGCATCTCTGCAAAAACAGTGATAATGTGTGAGTGTGGTGAAAGTGTTGAATGATGATGAAAGTATTTTCTTTTTGGGGATTTTCTTTCTTTTTTGGGCCACCCTGCCTCAGTGGGATATGGCCGGTTTGTTGAAAGAAAAGATTTATACAGAGATACACACTTCTCAGTACAGTGGACCCCCGCATAATGATCACCTCCCAATGCGACCAATTATGTAAGTGCGTTTGTACGTGTATGTTTGGGGGTCTGAAATGGACTAATCTACTTCACAATATTCCTTATGGGAACAAATTCGGTCAGTACTGGCACCTGAACATACTTCTGGAATGAAAAAATATCGTTAACCAGGGGTCTACTGTATATTTACACTGAGATGTATACTCTTGAGTCCTCTTGGTTGAGTAATTAGGATTAAAGGCTGTCAGTCTCATGAGGGTCATTAAGTCTGCATGTAACCTGTTCGTCATCATTTAGGAATGCTGTATTTTAATCTCTGAAAGAGGAATTAAAACAAACTCTAAGTCTATATACATTGAGAGGTAAACATCTTATTGTATACAACTTAACTCTTCATTATCGTCACTCTTCTTAACCCTTAAACTGTCCAAACAGATCGACGTTCAAATCCGTAGTGTTCCAAAAGTAGATTACGTTTTTTTTACGTATTTTCAAAAATAACAAAAAAAATGTAGATAAAAGTTTTTTTTACACATTTTTAAATGTAAAACAAGAAAGAAGATCTACATTTTTTTACATACTTTTAAATGTTGAAAAAACGTATACATGTATATACGTTTGGACCATTTAAGGGTTAATAACAAAGTTCTTGACTGCATGCATTTTTTTTTTTTGTAATTGTATTTAGGAATTAAAAATATGACAGTAAAATTTAGAGACTTCAAATTTTTCTAAATATCATTTTTTTAACACACCAGCTGTCTTCCACTGAGACAGGACAACCCAAAAAAAGGAGAAACACATAAAAGAAGAAACATATTTACCATCACTCACTCTACTGCTGTCTTGACAAAGCTGCACCAATACTACAGTTCAGATGCCCCTCCAGAGTACAAATATCCCCCCCCCCCCCATACTTCAGAGTGCAGGCACTGTTCTTCCAGAACTCAAGTCTTGCTAACCAGTTTCTGTGAATCCTTTCATAAATATTACACTGCTTACACCCCAACAGTACATCAAATCATAAGAACTACTCGCCTCCACTCACTTGTATGTAACACACTCGCATACATCTATTGGATCTCCAAGCCCCTCGCATTTTATATTTTACATGTGACTGTGTGTAACACTGATTTTTTTTTTTATTTTTTGCCTCAGAACTTTACCGTTACATGGTGGTGTCGGCAAATATCCCCGATAATGGAATCATACCAAGTGAACAGTACTACCGGCATGACATTGGTTTACAACTTACAAACAGTGCCCGCTCCAAGAGCTGCACAAAATCTAACTAAAAGAGGATGCTTTGGCGTGGGTGCAGGTAATGGCAAATGATTAAAAATAAAGATATTTGTGTTCATTAGAATGCATAGAGCTTCCTGTGAATGGGTTTACAATTTGCATAGTTACAGGTTGGTTTGTTACAGGTTGTCTGATTACAGGTTGAATGGTTACAGGTTCAAGAATACATTATACTGCATATTCTACGAAAAGTCCATTTTTATTTAAAGCATTCTTAATTTATCACTGATTAAAGTTTTTTTTTTTTTTTTTTTTTTTTTTTTTTTTTTTTTTTTGTACTCATCGGCTGATTCCCACCAAGGCAGGGTGGCCTGAAAAAGAAAAACTTTCATCATCATTCACTCCATCACTGTCTTGCCAGAGGGGTGCTTTACACTACAGTTATGAAACTGCAACATTAACACCCCTCCTTCAAAGTGCAGGCACTGTACTTCCCATCTCCAGGACTCAAGTCCGGCCTGCCGGTTTCCCTGAACCCCTTCATAAATGTTACTTTGTTCACACTCCAACAGCACGTTGAGTATTAAAACCCATTTGCCTCCATTCACTCTTATCAAATAAGCTCATGCATACTTGCTGGAAGTCCAAGCCCCTCTCACACAAAACCTCCTTTACCCCCCTCCCTCCAACCTTTAATAGGCAGAGCCCAACCCTGCCTTCCCTCCACTACAGATTTATGCACTCTTGAGGTCATTCTGTTTTGTTCCATTCTCTCTACATGTCTGAACCACCTCAACAACCCTTCCTCAGCCCCCTGGATAATAGTTTTGGTAATACCGCACCTTCTCTTAATTTCCAAACTACAAATTCTCTGCATTATATTCACACCACACATTGCCCTCAGACATGACATCTCCACTGCCTCCAACCTTCTCCTCATTGCAACATTCATCACCCATGCTTCACACCCATATAGTAGTGTTGGTATAACTATACTCACATACATTCCCTTCTTTGCTTCCATGGACAAAGTTCTTTGTCTCCACAGACTCCTAAGTGCACCACTCACCCTTTTCCTCTCATCAATTCTATGATTCACATCATCCTTCATAGACCCATCCGCTGACAAGTCCACTCCTAAATATCTGAATACGTTCACCTCCTCCATACTCTCTCTCTCCAATCTGATATCCAATCTTTTGTCACCTAATCTTTTTGTTATCCTCATCACTTTACTCTTTCCTATATTCACTTTTAATTTTCTTCTTTTACATACCCTACCAAATTCATGTATTTTCTTTATTGCCATACACCCTGCCCACAGGATGGGTATTGAAATTCAAATTTTTATTTCTTTGCATTGTATACAATGTGTGATTTACATGTTATAAATTGTTGTTAAGCAAAAAAAAAAAAAGCCACTAACATGCCTGAACATTTCAGGCAGACTAATAAAAGAATAAGAATAAAGGCTACAATGTGTAATTACAGTTTTGGTTTTCTAATTACAAAGAAAACCACTATCATGCCGGGGCATTTCGGGCAGACTAATCCTAGTACATAATAACAACTTAAATCTAAACAAGATATTTATTTAATCTTAATACTAATGCGAGGTAGTCAAGGCGGAGGCTTGTAAGAATAATCTTGAACACTGCTTAAAACTAGACATAGCTTATGGACTGGTCAATTTCAGTTATTCATTATTTTACAGTATTACAAAACAAAGGTAGCCAAAAATTTTATAATTAGTATGGGGTGCATAATAAAGATATTAAAGTGAACTAACCATATACTCTGCCCACAGGATGGGTATCTTAAGTTGGTCTTAAGCCTCCTCGAAATGCTCTGCACATACAAGGGCTTTTAGCATGTTCACCAAATTGTTACACTCCTCTGTACAAACATGCATCATGCTAAAATAAACTTTGTGTTGTTTTTATATTAAAGTGAGCTAACCATATACTCTGCCCACAGGATGGGTATGGAGTGCATAATAAAGTTATTTAACTAAACTAACCATATACCCTGTGGTAGATTCATTTACTGTAGCTAACACCAGTCAAAATTTTGTCTTTTAACTTTCTCAGTTATATAATATATTGTTGGTCATTATCAGGATTTTCGTAACAATAAGTACTTCGCTTGTTATGGCCTCTTTATTTTGAAAATATCTTTATTATTATTATCTGTTGAGGCACCAAACTGAGTAAGACTGGTGGATAATGTTGGAGGTCAAATATAACTGATTCCTGGATAATCATTGATCTGCTGTATGCAGTGGCATGGCATCAGGTATCCTCTTGCCTTTATTTCAATATCAGCAATTCTTTCTTCTTTCAACACACCGGCCGTATCCCACCGAGGCGGGGTGGCCCAAAAGGAAAAACGAAAGTTTCTCCTTTTACATTTAGTAATATATACAGGAGAAGAGGTTACTAGCCCCTTGCTCCCGGCATTTTAGTCGCCTCTTACAACACGCATGGCTTACGGAGGAAGAATTCTGTTCCACTTCCCCATGGAGATAAGAGGAAATAAACAAGAATAAGAACTAGAAAGAAAATAGAAGAAAACCCAGAGGGGTGTGTATATATGTGCTTGTACATGTATGTGTAGTGGGACCTAAGTGTAAGTAGAAGTAGCAAGACGTACCTGAAAACTTGCATGTTCATGAGACAGAAAAAAGGACACCAGCAATCCTACCATCATGTAAAACAATTACAGGCTTTCGTTTTACACTCACTTGGCAGGACGGTAGTACCTCCCTGGGCGGTTGCTGTCTACCAACCTACTACCTAGGATCAGCAATTCTATGTTTAACTATTTATGCAATTATTATTATTACTATTATTATTTGTTTATCACACCAGCCATCTCCCATCAATGTAGGGTGACCCAAAAAAGTAGAAAAAGTTTTTCTTTTTTAAATTAGTAATTTATACAGAAGGGGTTGCTAGCCCCTTGCTCCTGGCATTTTAGTCACCTTATGACATGCATGGCCTATTAAGTCCCAGTACACCAGTATTTGGAATTAAAGTACTTTCGACTGGTGGTGAACATGTGACATACATCCTTAATCACCCTTGTGTGTTGATAGGAATTTAAGTCCAATTAATCAACTAACCATCATAGGTTTAGTTCATCCTATTAGTATCTTTCTTTCAACACTCTGGCTGTATCCCACTGAGGCAGGGTGGTCCAAAAGGAAAAACAAAAGTTAGTATATTAATAATAATTAATAACTGAAAGTTTTTCTTTTTCGGGCCACCCTGCCTTGGTGGGAGACGGCCGATGTGTTAATAAAAAAAATAAATAATAACCAACAGGCACTCTGAAGTACAGCTACGGGGACATGAACTTAAATACTTCAAGTTTTTACCTGCATGACGCAACTTATGAAATTATGGTGTGGGTTGTGAAGGATACGAGAGCGGCGAACGCTTCTGTGCAAGTGGGTGTCACTCTTCAAATCCCCCCCAGCATCGTTATACAGTGAGTTGTGTTGCTTTCTTGGTACTTATTTGAAGTGTATTTACAGAGGTATGTATTTGTGTGTATACACTGAGTTGTGTGTACTGTGTATATACACAGATGTATATACAGAGATGTTTATGCACAGATGTATATGCACATGTATATGCACAAATGTATATGCACAGATGTAAATTGTACACCGAGAGCTGTGTATCTTACTGTGTATATACAGAGATGTGTATCTGTGCAAATACAGAGAGGTGTGCATCACACCATACCTGTACATACACTGAGAGCTCAGGCTGACTCCTATTTTAGAAATTAGCACTCATTAATGTTGGTGCACAGGTGAATTGCAGCCTTAATGGCTCATATCCTTTAAACCTATACCTGGAGTATACCTGGAGGGGGTTTTGGGGATCAACACCCCAATGACCCGGTCTACAACCAGGCCTCGCAGTGGATCAGGGCCTGATCAACCATTTTTTTTTTTATCTCTTCTGAAGGTGTGTGGATGTATCAATTTGCTACCCGTACAACGGCGGCATCCTTGTAAATCCATCTTCCCGAATGGCACTCGTCGGCACCTGTGTGTCTCAGTGCGGCAAAACACTGGCTCTTCAGTGGACGTACATGGATATGTAAGTCTCCTCTTACTTCATCATCACTCGCTCCATCACTGTCTTGCCAGAGGGGCACCAATACTACAGTTCAAAAACTGTAACGTGTCCCACCCCTCTACATATAACCATATACGTATTGTGACAGTAATATTGCATGTCCATCTTGAGCCTCGTGCTTGTACATTTATAATCATTTTTTCTAAATATCAGTATTAGAACAAAAACTTTTCAGCTAAAGAAGACACTCAGTATATATGTACATGTATACACTGAAGCATGAACAATATATCCGAGTCCATGCAGTGACGTTAATCTGCATGTAATATTAACTGAGAGGTATATAACAAGAAGTGTGTATCACTGTATATATACAGAGATGCACATCTTGCTGTTTTTCCATTAAGTGATGTATATTTCATTTCTGAGAGTATATATATACCAAGAGGCATATATTTCAGTATATGTACTGTGAGATGTGCATTTTTCTTTGTATTGTATACATTGAAAGGTGATTATTGGTAAAATTGATTGGTAAACATATTATCTCATATGAGGCTAAGAGGGGTGGCTAAAGTAAGTATTTTTGACTGTGAAAATAAATCCCCAAGCAGTGTATATAGCAAGGCCAAACCCATGGAGAAAGTTTTCAAATATACTGTTTTTTTAGGTAGACAATGGCATAAGCCACTGCCTATTTAAAAAATATAGATATAAATAAGAAAGAGCAGAGGACTAGGACAGTACCTTGTGGCACTCCAACAACTACAGGCTGAGTAGTAGAGATCACACCATTTTTTTTTTTTTTTTTTTTCAGGGTTTGACAAGGTTAAGGATCCCTAGCTTTATTGACAAGTTATTTACAGGTTAAGGATTCCTAACTTTATTGGCAAGTTAAGAGCTGTTACCTACATCAGCTCATTTGGTATCTATCACTAAGATAAGACTTTAGGTAGTTGAGGGAGTGCCCTCTGACCTCGTAATGTTCTAGTTTTAGGTGCAAGAGATTGTGGTCTACTGTATCAAATGCTTTCCATAGGTCCATGAAAACCCCCAGAGAGTACTCATTTATTTCAAGTGCTTATATAGTAGTTCGAGCATCTGAATAGTTGCATCAGGTAGGTAAGTAATGAGTGTACTGTATGTGTATTTTACTTTTTTATTGTTTTTAATACCTAGTTGATGGTAGGATTGCTGGTTTCTTTTTCTGTCTCATAAACACGCTAGATAACAGGGATATCTTGCTACTCCTACTTACACTTTGGTCACACTTCACAGACACGCACATGCATATATATATACATACATCTAGGTTTTCTCCTTTTTCTAAATAGCTCTTGTTCCTCTTTATTTCTTCTATTGTCCATGGGGAAGTGGAAAAGAATCTTTCCTCCGTAAGCCATGCGTGTCGTATGAGGCGACTAAAATGCCGGGAGCAATGGGCTAGTAACCCCTTCTCCTGTAGACATTTACTAAAAAAGAAGAAGAAAAACTTTATAAAACTGGGATGCTTAAATGTGCGTGGATGTAGTGCGGATGACAAGAAACAGATGATTGCTGATGTTATGAATGAAAAGAAGTTGGATGTCCTGGCCCTAAGCGAAACAAAGCTGAAGGGGGTAGGGGAGTTTCGGTGGGGGGAAATAAATGGGATTAAATCTGGAGTATCTGAGAGAGTTAGAGCAAAGGAAGGGGTAGCAGTAATGCTGAATGATCAGTTATGGAAGGAGAAAAGAGAATATGAATGTGTAAATTCAAGAATTATGTGGATTAAAGTAAAGGTTGGATGCGAGAAGTGGGTCATAATAAGCGTGATGCACCTGGAGAGAGAGGAATGCAGAGGAGAGAGAGAGATTTTGGGAGATTTTAAGTGAATGTATAGGAGCCTTTGAACCAAGTGAGAGAGTAATTGTGGTAGGGGACTGAATGCTAAAGTAGGAGAAACTTTTAGAGAGGGTGTGGTAGGTAAGTTTGGGGTGCCAGGTGTAAATGATAATGGGAACCCTTTGATTGAACTTTGTATAGAAAGGGGTTTAGTTATAGGTAATACATATTTTAAGAAAAAGAGGATAAATAAGTATACAAGATATGATGTAGGGCTGAAATGACAGTAGTTTGTTGGATTATGTATTGGTAGATAAAAGACTGTTGAGTAGACTTCAGGATGTACATGTTTATGGAGGGGCCACAGATATATCAGATCACTTTCTAGTTGTAGCTACACTGAGAGTAAAAGGTAGATGGGATACAAGGAGAATAGAAGCATCAGGGAAGAGAGAGGTGAAGGTTTATAAACTAAAAGAGGAGGCAGTTAGGGTAAGATATAAACAGCTATTGGAGGATAGATGGGCTAATGAGAGCATAGGCAATGGGGTCGAAGAGGTATGGGGTAGGTTTAAAATGTAGTGTTAGAGTGTTCAGCAGAAGTTTGTGGTTACAGGAAAGTGGGTGCGGGAGGGAAGAGGAGCGACTGGTGGAATAATGATGTGAAGAGAGTAGTAAGGGAGAAAAAGTTAGCATATGAGAAGTTTTTACAAAGTAGAAGTGATGCAAGGAGGGAAGAGTATATGGAGAAAAAAAAGAGAGTGGTGAAGCAATGTAAAAAGAGAGCAAATGAGAGAGTGGGTGAGATGTTATCAACAAATTTTGTTGAAAATAAGAAAAAGTTTTGGAGTGAGATTAACAAGTTAAGAAAGCCTAGAGAACAAATGGATTTGTCAGTTAAAAATAGGAGAGGAGAGTTATTAAATGGAGAGTTAGAGGTATTGGGAAGATGGAGGGAATATTTTGAGGAATTGTTAAATGTTGATGAAGATAGGGAAGCTGTGATTTCATGTATAGGGCAAGGAGGAACAACATCTTGTAGGAGTGAGGAAGAGCCAGTTGTGAGTGTGGGGGAAGTTCGTGAGGCAGTAGGTAAAATGAAAGGGGGTAAGGCAGCCGGGATTGATGGGATAAGATAGAAATGTTAAAAGCAGGTGGGGATATAGTTTTGGAGTGGTTGGTGCAATTATTTAATAAATGTATGGAAGAGGGTAAGGTACCTAGGGATTGGCAGAGAGCATGCATAGTTCCTTTGTATAAAGGCAAAGGGGATAAAAGAGAGTGCAAAAATTATAGGGGGATAAGTCTGTTGAGTATACCTGGCAAAGTGTATGGTAGAGTTATTATTGAAAGAATTAAGAGTAAGACGGATAATAGGATAGCAGATGAACAAGGAGGCTTTAGGAAAGGTAGGGGGTGTGTGGACCAGGTGTTTACAGTGAAACATATAAGTGAACAGTATTTAGATAAGGCTAAAGAGGTCTTTGTGGCATTTATGGATTTGGAAAAGGTGTATGACAGGGTGGATAGGGGGGCAATGTGGCAGATGTTGCAGGTGTATGGTGTAGGAGGTAGGTTACTGAAAGCAGTGAAGAGTTTTTACGAGGATAGTGAGGCTCAAGTTAGAGTATGTAGGAAAGAGGGAAATTATTTCCCAGTAAAAGTAGGCCTTAGACAAGGATGTGTGATGTCACCGTGGTTGTTTAATATATTTATAGATGGGGTTGTAAGAGAAGTAAATGCGAGGGTCTTGGCAAGAGGCGTGGAGTTAAAAGATAAAGAATCACACATAAAGTGGGAGTTGTCACAGTTGCTCTTTGCTGATGACACTGTGCTCTTGGGAGATTCTGAAGAGAAGTTGCAGAGATTGGTGGATGAATTTGGTAGGGTGTGCAAAAGAAGAAAATTGAAAGTGAATACAGGAAAGAGTAAGGTTATGAGGATAACAAAAAGATTAGGTGATGAAAGATTGGATATCAGATTGGAGGGAGAGAGTATGGAGGAGGTGAATGTATTCAGATATTTGGGAGTGGACGTGTCAGCGGATGGGTCTATGAAAGATGAGGTGAATCATAGAATTGATGAGGGGAAAAGGGTGAGTGGTGCACTTAGGAGTCTGTGGAGACAAAGAACTTTGTCCTTGGAGGCAAAGAGGGGAATGTATGAGAGTATAGTTTTACCAACGCTCTTATATGGGTGTGAAGCATGGGTGATGAATGTTGCAGCGAGGAGAAGGCTGGAGGCAGTGAAGATGTCATGTTTGAGAGCAATGTGTGTGAATATAATGCAGAGAATTCGTAGTTTGGAAGTTAGGAGGAGGTGCAGGATTACCAAAACTGTTGTCCAGAGGGCTGAGGAAGGGTTGTTGAGGTGGTTCGGACATGTGGAGAGAATAGAGTGAAACAGAATAACTTCAAGAGTGTATCAGTCTGTAGTGGAAGGAAGGCGGGGTAGGGGTCGGCCTAGGAAAGGTTGGAGGGAGGGGGTAAAGGAGGTTTTGTGTGCGAGGGGCTTGGACTTCCAGCAGGCATGCGTGAGCATGTTTGATAGGAGTGAATGGAGACAAATGGTTTTTAATACTTGACGTGCTGTTGGAGTGTGAGCAAAGTAACATTTATGAAGGGGTTCAGGGAAACCGGCAGGCCGGACTTGAGTCCTGGAGATGGGAAGTACAGTGCCTGCACTCTGAAGGAGGGGTGTTAATGTTGCAGTTTAAAAACTGTAGTGTAAAGCACCCTTCTGGCAAGACAGTGATGGAGTGAATGATGGTGAAAGTTTTTCTTTTTCGGGCCACCCTGCCTTGGTGGGAATCGGCCAGTGTGATAATAATAATAATAAAAAAAAAATAAAAACCTAGTTCTATTTTTAATATACTAAAAATGTTATATATGGTGCAAAGGTGACATGAAAACAATATCTAAACATGGTTGACACAAACCCATTGCTAGTGCAGTATGCTTGAAACATTGGTAAGGGGCAGCTCCTTGCTTAATGACTAATTCGCTTACCAACCTACTCTTAGGAGTGGAACTCTGTCATTAAGTAAGGAGTACCTATAGTTCTGGGTTTATGAATCCTTTAAATGAAGGCTAAACCAGCAAGAGAAATTATCCTCAAACATTTTATATATTGGAAATCTCTTTAGGACTGGAATTCTGAGATATATTTAGAATATATTTTTCATGAGCATGTCTTGCCAAAGAAAATGAGTTCTCAGACATAAAAATAATTGAAAGATGTTTAAGACAGTTACGGTTTTTATTAAAATTTTTATTATTAATTCAAGAGAATGTTCATCTATTAAAATTAATTATACAGTATTTGTAGTAATACTTGTATGTTGTAGGTCTGGGAACCCTGCAAATGATACCTGTAATGCCTGTGACCCAGTTAACAATCCAGGTAAGTTTTCGTATTAAGTCTGTTGAGCCTTGGTATTCACGAACATACTGCCATGTTGCTTTATTTCAACTTCTTCTTCTTCTTCTTCTTCTTTTTTTTTTTTTTTTCTTTTTTTTTTAACACGTCAGCCACTTCCCACCAAAAAGGCAGGGTGACCCCAAAAGAAACAAAAACCTCAGAAAAACCCCAAAAGAAAGAAAAAACTTTCATCATCATTCAACACTTTCACCATCATTCATACATAATCACTGTCTTTGCAGAGTCGCTCAGATATAACCGCTTAGACATCCCTCAAAGCAGCCAATATCCCAAACCCTTCCTTTAACCCTTTGACTGTCACAAGCCCCTTTCTGAAACTGTCATTCTATGTCGCAAAATTTTTGGAAAAAAAAAAATTATTTTTTTCTTATGAAATGATAGAGAATCTTTTCCCAGTGGTAATGACACGAAAAGTACGAAATTTGGTTGAAAACTCACGGAATTATGCTACCACGAAGTTACCAGTCTCGGCAATTTTGCCGACTTTGAGCCCTGATTTTGGCCAGTTCTTTTGTTCCAGTTGACCAAACTTGTAGCTATTTCTTTAGAACTCCATTTTTTCTATCAGTTGAGTACAAGAAACCACCCATTTACCAATTTGAACTACCCAATAAAGTGGTCAGAAATTGGCAATTTGGCCAATTTCACGCTAATTAAAAAAGATGCCAATTTCAAAATAAGGTCCAGAATAAACAATGTAGACATTCTGGCACTAAAATAACATATTCTCTGTTTATTAGTCATGTCTCTTGGCCCCTCTTATATTACTATTGCTTTCTATTTTGATTTTTTATTCATACAAAAAATACAAAATTTACTGTTATGCAGACTACTGCATTATTGTAAAAATGGTATAAATAATATCAGTGCACTAGTGAAAGAATATTAGACTCCCCAGTTGATGTGTATTGGATGTGTGGTGTGATTTGCTTACTCCTGAACATTGGTAAAAATTGAATATTTCCGCTATTTTGAGCTGAATTTCAAGGTCATTTTCATCATGAAACTAATCAAATCATCTTTATTTCTGTAATGTGTTTTCCATTTTATCGTGAAAACGAGAATACAACGATAAATACTATACGAAAATACAACTCAAAGTCGGTGTTTTAATCCAAAAAACGGTCAGTTTTTTTTTTCTCATTATGCACTGTGTGCTGCAGGATGTTTTTTATGTGGTGCACACTGACCACACAGACCCATTCTCTCACATGTGAGCCTACCAGCTTTCTCCCGCTTGATTTGAAGCCACTAGAATTTACACGTACGTATATGTCCAAAACAGTGGCGCGCAAGACGTATATATACGACCAAAACAGTCAAAGGGTTGAAGTGCAGGCATTGTACTTCCCATTTCCAGGACTCAAGTCCAGCTGACAGGTTTCCCTGAATCCCTTCACAAAATATTACCCTGCTCACACTCCAACAGCTCATCAGGTCCCAAAAACCATTCATCTCCATTCACTTCTATCTAATATGCTCACACATGCTTGCTGGAAGTCCAAGCCCCTAACACACAAAACCTCCTCTACCCCCTCCCTCCAACCTTTTCGGGGACGACCCCTACCCTGCCTTCCTTCCCCAACAGATTTATACGCTCTCCAAGTCATTCTACTTTGTTCCATTCTCTCTAAATGACCAAACTGCCTCAGCAGCCCCTCTTCAGCCCTCTTACTAATACTTTACTAACTCCACACCTCCTCCTAATTTTTACACTACAAATTCTCTGCATAATATTTACACCACACATTGCCTTTAGATATGACATCTCCACTTCCTCCAGCCTCCTTTCTGCTGTAGAGTTTACAATCCATGCTTCACACCCATATAAGAGTGTTGGTACCACTGTACTCTTGTACATTCCCTTCTTTGCCTCCATGGATAATGTTCTTTGCCTCCACAGATACCTCAATTCTCCATTTACCTTTTTTCCTTCATCAGTTTTATGGTTAACTTCATCCTTCATAAACCCATCAGCTGACAAGTCAATTCCCAAATATCTGAACACATTCACTTCTTCCATACTCCCTCCCTCCAATGTGATATCCAATTTTTCTGTGTCTGAATTGTGTGATACCCTCATCACCTTGCTGTTATCTATGTTCACTTTCAATTTTCTACCTTTACACAGCCTTTGTATTATATGTTTGTGATGAAAATTTTATTGATATTTGTAATCTTTATTGCTTGTCGATTTTATATTCGTTGTGTGTGTTGTATTGATTTTTTCTTCTTAACATTGTTGAGTAGGTACTCCCTAAACTTCCTTCCTCCTCACCCCCTTCACCTGCCATGTACCATGGACAGTGTTAGTCTCTTCATGCCTGTTATACCTGTCCATCTCACAGTTAACACGTATGTAGGATGGCTTCAGGGTTGGTATTTCTGGACTCGGAGATGAGCTGAAGTAGGATAACAGCTCTTAACCTGTGAATTATTCTTGTTAAAAAATTACATTACTGTTTTATCATTTTTTTAACACATCGTCTGTTTCTCACTCTAGCAGGGTGACCCTAAAAAGAAGAAACATCTTAATCACTCACTCCACATTATGTATATAAATATTTCATTGCTTCCCTCCCCCAGTATTCCTGACACCGACAACCACATTCACCATTGCTGCTACTCCACTATTCTTTCAAATCAATCCGAGCATAAATAAGTTCCGATTCCGACTTACGGGAACAACAGAAACTCAGTCAAGTGGGTAAGTAATAATGAACTGTGTTAATTAAGACATCAGTTAAATCATTACTTTAAATCATAAAAACTAATTAAACTGAACTCATTGTAAATACATTGAGGGAGTTGCACCACCTGGTAGACATAAACCAAGAGATATACACCTCTCAATGTACATACCTTGTGGCTGCTAGTTTATTTAATCTTTGTGTCTAAAGTGTTGAATAGTATCTGATTCAGCTAAAATTTTAGGAAATTTTTATATACAGTATATTACAGTTTTAATAATGCATATATTTTTTTAACATGCTGGCCGTCTCCTACCAAGGCAGGGTGACCCCCCCCCCCCAAAAAAAAAAAAAAAAAAAAAAACATTTTCACCATAATTCACACTATCACTGTCTTGCCAGAGGTGCACAGATATGACAGTTCAGATGTCCCTGTAAAGAGCAAATATCCCAAACCCTTCCTTTAAAATGCAGGCAATGTACTTCCCACATCCAGGACTCAAGTCCAGTTAATGATGCATACATTATTTGCAGGTTTGCAGAGATGGTGGTGGTTTTGAACGCTCCTCCAGCAAGTGGGACATGTACACTGAATACCCTTAGTCTGCGAGCACTCATTGATTCTACAATGGCATCTTGTAACAACTGGAAAGACCCAGAAAACCTTGGTATCCAGTCATACACCTTTTATTACCCTTCTGGTAATACCCAAACAACTATGGGATCATCAGGTTTTAGTTCTTTGAATTTGATCTTCCCCGTGGGTATTTTCAATGTCTCGTGCACTATTACTGACAATTTTGGAAGTTTTACAAATGTGTTTCTTGGGACTGTGAATGCCTCAATGATTACAAAGGCTCAGTACGATGCTTATAATCCTTCAGCTGTACTTCAAAACTTGGCATCAATTGGTGATCAGACAACGTTAGCGATGGTTTTAAATTCACTAGCATCCATTAAATTGAATGCTGATTGGCTTTCACTAAATGACAATTCCTTTGGTAACTTAACAAGTGCTCAAGCCAGTAATAGACTTAATGAAATAAGTAACATGAATACACAAGCACTTGATTTTGCTGCTGATACCATGACTTTTTCTTCATTATCTCAACTTAATGTCGGTGTCAGTGTCTTGAAGTCTGCCTCTTGTGGTGTCTTGACTCAAACAAGAGCAGCTTATACAATTGATATGAGTTTTAGGAATAAAAGTCTACAGTTTATGAAGAAAATGGAATTAGCATTGATCAACACTACTATTTATTCTCCATACGACTTACAACCATTTGTGTCCAGCTTCATGGACTCTGCTGTATGTCTTCTTATAAGTATGAATGAAGTTATTGTAAACCCTTCGCTGAGCCCACCTGGAGACTGGGCCAAGGCTCCATCTCTGGATTATGATACTGGCATAAATAAAAAAGATACAAGCTTTGAGGTTCCATTAAATCCAACAGACCAAATGAGACAGAATATATTAGAAATAACAAAACAACAAGCAAAGTCTGTGGTTAAGGATCTGTTTACCTTAGTTGACTCTCTCAGCACATTTATCTTAAATCTCACCGTTGCTGGGGAAACTGTTGATGATGAGTCGGATAGTGGAGCAGGAATGTATGTTACTAAGATCCAAGAACAAAATTTATTGGCTGCTGGAATGGAAATACGGCCTTCAAGTACTTTGAATATTTCGGTGAATTTCCCTTCTAACTTCTGTGCCTCACACTACAGTGATATACTGACAACTTGCACAAACACTGCAGGTTTTACAGCTGTGGTCTGGCCTGTTGTAACTCATGTTTATCCACCAAGTAATGTTTATTTATCAAATCTGACTTCAGTCATTTCTCTTAGTGTATTTGCTGAGAGGGAGAATGTCACTGTTGCAAATCTAACACGGCCAGTAATTCTGACAATTCCTCGAAAATCTCAAACTATACCTATGCCAATTTTTGTGGAGGGGAACGTTGCTGTTAATTCCCATGTACCCTTTGTGTATCACACTTTCAATGTATCCAATGCTGATTCTGCTTTCACAGTGGAGATTAGTCCAAGCGGAGACACGACGCCAGACTTAGTTATACTATTAGACTATGGACGACTGCCAACCCCTGCCAGGTATGACATGATTATCTCTGTCAAAAATCTCACTGTTAACGAAAATGGAACGTATACATGGTTTGTAGATAACATACAAAACAACAACAGAACTGGGAGACTGTTTCTTGCAGTTGCTATGCTGAAGGAGGACTCTGTTATTCCTGAACCTGAAACTAATGATACCTTGCAAAAGGAGGATTTTGAAAACTTTGATATTAATTATGATCTACGTGTGACAACATCAGGCTGTTACTTCTATAATGAAACAAGTGATATGTGGTCAGCCTCTGGTTTGAAATGTTTGTCGGCTAATACTACACATGTAGTTTGTGAAGCATACCATCTTACCCCGTTTGGGTCAGGATACTTACCTACTCCAAACACAATCAACTTTGAGTACATCTTTGCACAAGCAGGCTTTATTAACAATCTAATCATCTATGTAGTAATCATAATTACTTTTGTTTTTTATATAATAATGATGATATGGGCTCGTTTTATGGACAAAAAAGATGTACAATATCGAGGTGTTACTGCCCTGGGTGATAATAGTGTTGAAGATAAATATTTATATGAAATAACTTTCACCACTGGTGCTGACAAAGAAGCAGGAACAGATTCAAATATCCAGTTTATTCTCTCAGGAGAATACAGTGAAACAGATGTGAGACATCTGCCACCATCAGACAACAGACGTTATCGTCGTTACAGCGTCGATGCTTTTGTGATGAGTACACATGGTCCCCTTGGAGATATTTGTTACCTGCGTATTTGGCATGACAACAGTGGCAAATCACCACATGACAGCTGGCAGCTACAAACAGTAGTGATTCGTGATCTTCAGACTCGAGATAAGTTTGTATTTAAAGTGAACTCCTGGCTCAGTCTTGATAGAGGTGAAAACAAGCTTGACATATTACTGAAGCCATCTGACATTGACACTAACGAAGAATTTTCCACAGAGTTTTACAACCGAGGACACAGAACTGCAAATGAAGATCACATGTGGCTGTCAATATTCTTGCGACCAACAGGCTCTCGGTTCAGCAGGAAAGAGCGTGTTTCTGTTGTTATGTTGTATCTCTACCTATCAATGTTGCTCAATGCTTTTTGTTACCAGAGACTTCCTGATTCACCTCGCTCAGGCGTGTTTGAATTTAGTGCCTTGACAATATCTTTACAACAGACTGTTATTGGTATTGTCGCTGGTACTCTAGTTTATCCTGTAACTCTTCTATTAGGATTTATTTTCAAGAGAGCAAGACCTCTAAGGCTAAAGAAGTGCCGGGCTCTAGAAGCTTTAGCCAAGCAACGGAGAGACCAGCAGAATGCCACTGAGACACAAATTGACACAGGTGAGATTCTGAACGAATACGACGTAATGTCCTTGCAGTCATCAAATAACCGCAGCAAAGATGCGAGTCCCGTGACATGCATTCCTTGTTGGCTGCGGTGGTTAGCTTGGCTTCTCATATTAGGTGGCTTAGGCATCTCTGTATTTTTCGTGTGGTCATATGCAATCATGTGGGGAGAAATCAAGACAGTCAAATGGTTCTCCTCATTTATCACCTCTTTCTTCATATCCCTTCTTGTCACTCAGTGGTTAAAAGTAGCTTTTGTGTCAACACTTGGAGCACTTTGCTGCAAGAGTGCAAACACCTTAACCGAGGATATTGACTGTGATGAGGAACTGCCGGAGCTTAACTACGATGAAGAGTGGAAAAATGTTAGTCCCATGGATCCCTCCATCAAACGCAAGGCAAGTAATTTATGTTGTGTCAATTAAAACACAAAACTGTATTTGTCATGCTTTTTAGGCAGATCTTGCAATCTTTGTTTTTAAAGCAGTGATCATTTTGCAAGAAAGGCAGTGTAAACTCATTGTTGCACATACAGTAATACCATGAAAATCAGTCTCAACGTCACACGCAGCTCACGTACTGACTGTTTGTGGTTCAGTTCCTGGTACAGGTGGAAATGATGGGCAAGTTTCCTTACACCTGCTGTCCCTGTTCACCTAACAGCAGTAGGTATCTGGGTGTTAGCCAACTGGTATGGGTGGCATCCTGGGGAAAGTGGTAGTATACGTACCTCAGACAGTGTTGGGTTTTGAAATGAACTAAGGTAGAATTACAGTTCTTAGCCTGTAAAGCTGATTTGTGTAAAAAAAAATTCCATCTTTCCCCAGAATTCAGGTACTTTTTAATCCTTGTGATTTAAATATTAACATTTTTACTGAAGATTGTTTCAGGGAATAGCTTCAGTTATTCTTGATTTTTCTTTTAATAATAATAATCATCTTTATTTCTATAAGTTTTTTTTTTTTTTCAACGTCGGCCCCACTCCACAAAGGGGGCAGTAAAGCAATAGCAAAGAACTACAGACCGATAGCTCTAACATCCCATATCATAAAAATCTTTGAAAGGGTCCTAAGAAGCAAGATCATCACCCATCTAAAAACCCATCAGTTACACAACCCACAACAGGTCGCTCCTGTCTGTCTCAACTATTGGATCACTACGACAAGGTCCTAGATGCACTAGAAGACAAAAAGAATGCAGATGTAATATATACAGACTTTGCAAAACCCTTCGACAAGTGTGACCATGGCGTAATAGCGCACAAAATGCGTGCTAAAGGAATAACAGGAAAAGTCAGTCATTGGATCTATAATTTCCTCACTAACAGAACACAGAGAGTAGTAGTCTACAGAGTAAAGTCCGAGGCAGCTACGGTAAAAAGCTCTGTTCCACAAGGCACAGTACTCGCTCCCATCTTGTTCCTCATCCTCATATCTGACATAGACAAGGATGTCAGCCACAGCACCATGTCTTCCTTTGCAGATGACACCCGAATCTGCATGACAGTGTCTTCCATTGCAGACACTGCAAGGCTCCAGGTGGACATCAACCAAATCTTTCAGTGGGCTGCAGAAAACAATATGAAGTTCAACGATGAGAAATTTCAATTACTCAGATATGGTAAACACGAGGAAATTAAATCTTCATCAGAGTACAAAACAAATTCTGGCCACAAAATAGAGCGAAACACCAACGTCAAAGACCTGGGAGTGATCATGTCGGAGGATCTCACCTTCAAGGATCATAACATTGTATCAATCGCATCTGCTAGAAAAATGACAGGATGGATAATGAGAACCTTCAAAACTAGGGATGCCAAGCCCATAATGACACTCTTGAGGTCACTTGTTCTATCTAGGCTGGAATATTGCTGCACACTAACAGCTCCTTTCAAGGCAGGTGAAATTGCTGACCTAGAAAATGTACAGAGAACCTTCACGGCGCACATAACGGAGATAAAACGCCTAAATTACTGGGAGCGCTTGAGGTTCCTGAACCTGTATTCCCTGGAACGCAGGTGGGAGAGATACATGATTATATACACCTGGAAAATCCTAGAGGGACTAGTACCGAACTTGCACACAAAAATCACTCACTACGAAAGCAAAAGACTTGGCAGACGATGCAACATCCCCCCAATGAAAAGCAGGGGTGTCACTAGCACGTTAGGAGACCATACAATAAGTGTCAGGGGCCCGAGACTGTTCAGCTGCCTCCCAGCATACATAAGGGGGATTACCAACAGACCCCTGGCAGTCTTCAAGCTGCCACTGGACAAGCACCTAAAGTCAGTTCCTTACCAGACGGGCTGTGGCTCGTACGTTGGTTTGCGTGCAGCCAGCAGTAACTGCCTGGTTGATCAGGCTCTGATCCACCAGGAGGCCTGGTCAGAGACCGGGCCGCGGGGGCGTTGACTCCCGAACTCTCTCCAGGTAAACTCCAGGCCGTCTCCCACCGAGGCAGGGTGACCCAAAAAAGAAAGAAAATCCCCAAAAAGAAAATTCTTTCATCATCATTCAACACTTTCACCACACTCACACATTATCACTGTTTTTGCAGAGGTGCTCAGAGTAGTAGGTTGGTAGACAGCAACCACCCAGGGAGGTACTACCGTCCTGCCAAGTGAGTGTAAAACGAAAGCCTGTAATTGTTTTACATGATGGTAGGATTGCTGGTGTCTTTTTTCTGTCTCATAAATATGCAAGATTACAGGTATGTCTTGCTACTTCTACTTACACTTTGGCCACACTACACATACATGTACACGTTTATTTATACACACTCATCTGAGTTTTCTTTGATTTTATCTTAATAGTTCTTGGTCTTATTACTTTTCTTTTTATATCCATGGGGAAGTGGAATAAGAATCTTTCCTCCGTAAACCATGCGTGTTGTAAAAGTCAACTAAAATGCGGGAACAAGGGGCTAGTAACCCCTTTTCCTGTAAAGATTACTAAAAAGAATAAAATTTCTGTAAGTATATGATACAATTTATACAGACCATATCTGACATCAGTGTCATACTGTATAAAAAGCCCCTAGTTATGCAGAATATTTTGGGCAACTTAGGTTAATTTTGTCCTGAAGATGCTACCCACACCTAGCCAGCTAACACCCAGGTACCTACTTACTGTTAGGTGAACAGGCACAACAGGTGTCTTAAGGAAATATGCCCTGTGTTTCCACCTGTACCTGGGATGAACCACGGACACATATTGTGTGAGCGTGATGCTCTACCAAGTGAGCTATGGGACATTCTTTGTCTCCATTGTCCCTGCTAGGCATATGACCAAGCATGAATTGAAAAATAACCAGGGGATTTCATTCAGAATATGCTTGTTTCTTGTCAGTCAGATTAAAGCAACATTTAAAGAGAAAGAGCTAAAAATCTTATAACTCAGACATGCAAAATTTTCTATTATCTGCGACTTGAGGATACAGGCAGACCCTGCTTATACAGCAGGTTAGATTCCGGGATACTGCTGTAAAGCGAAAATCACTGTAAAGTGAAATTGCATTTTTTTTTTTTACTTTCAAATGCATATAAAAGTCTGATAACGTGTTTACACTATCATATACTATTAAGTGAGCAATAGAGCTAAGCTTAAAATGTACATTCTCCATGGGAAATTGGAACAGAATTCTTCCTTCGTAAGCCATGCGTGTTATAAGAGGCGACAAAAATGCTGGGAGCAAGGGGCTTGTAACCCCTTCTCCTGTATATATTAATAAATTTAAAAGAAGAAACTTTCATTTTTCCTTTCTCCCTCGGTGGGGTAAGACCAGTTTATTGAAAGAGAGATGATATACAGTACATACATTACTTACTTTAAAATATTTTCATCCTTAGCTTATAATGAGTGGTGAATATATATTTATTGTAGGAAGTCTGGATATAATTAGTATCATTGAAAACTGCTGCATTAGAAAAATGGCATAAAGTGAAGCACTGTAAAGCGGGGCTAGTCTGCTCATGGCACTTGTTAACCCTTTCAGGGTTTCCAACGTACTAGCATGGCTTACGCACAGGGTTATTGACGTACTAGTACGCCTAAATTCTAGAGCCTTCGAATCTAGTGAGAGAAAGCTGGTAGGCCTACATATGAAAGAATGGGTCTGTGTGGTCCGTGTGCACAGTATAAAAAAAAATCCTGCAGCACGCAGTGCATAATGAGAAAAAAAAAAACGAGTGTTTTTGGTTTAAAACAGCGACTTTGCACTGTATTTTTGTATGGTATTTATGATTGTATTCTAGTTTTCATGGTCTTAATTTATAGAATGGAAGGCATATTACAGAAATTGACATGATTTTGATTGGTTTCACAATGAAAAGTACCTTGAAATTGAGCTCAAAGTAGCAGAAATGTTCGATTTTTGCCAAAGTTCAAAAGTAAACAAATCATGCCACGCTTCCAATACATATCACCTGGTGAGTCTAATATTCTTTCACAAGTGTGCAGATATTATTTATACCATTTCTACACTAATGCAGTAGTCTGTATAACAGTAAATCTATTTTTTGTGAGAATAAAAATTCTAAGTGGAAAGCAAAAGAAATGTAAGAGGGGCCTGGGGATGTGACTAATGAACAGAGGGAATGTTATTTTAGTGCCAGGAATGTCTGTCTTGTTTATTCTGGACCCTATTTGGAAATTGGCATCTTTTGAAATTTGTGTGAAATTGGCAAAATTGCTAATTTCTGACCACTTTATTGGATAGTTGAAATCGATAAATGGGTAGTTTCATGTACTCATTCGATAGAAAAAATGGAGTTCTAGCTAAATAGTTATGATTTTTCTCGACTCATACACTGGAATTGGCCGAAAATAGGGCTCAAAGTTGGCAAAATCGCCGATGTGCAAACATCATCAAGACCACTAACTTCGTGAGAGATAATTCCATAAGTTTTCCATCAAATTTCATAATTTTGGTGTTATTATGATTGGGAAAAGATTCTCTATCATTTCAAGATTTTTTTTTTTTTTTTGACCCTGAGAACAAGTTCAGCAGAGGGCCTCTCGATCCTGAAAGGGTTAAGGACCAAACTCTTGCAAATTACAGCATATAAAAGGATATGCTGTATAAGAACGGTGTTTTTGAAAATTGAAATGATATGTTCTTCTCATGTTTTGGAAATTGATCATTATCATTGCAATATATGCACTTGAATACCTAATCCTTAAACTATATAGTGTCGATCTGTAGTATTGGTGGGAACTGTTGAACTTGTTTAGCTAACAACATGAGTCAGTCCCTGGATTCAGTATATCCCTTCATGTCTTTTGACTACCTGCCACAAAATGATACAAAGATACATCTAAAATTATTTTTTTTACCATTGATGAGGTGGCAAAATACCCACAGGCAACAATTTAAAGATTAAGTTGGTGGTATATTAAATTTACATAGATAAAGATTTTCTATGTAAATTTAGCAGGGGCTCTTTTGCATGGACTGAGGTAGCACATGCATTCAGATGTATAAATATGCATATTTTTATATATACGTATTTTGGGGCCTTGGATTATAAATTGTTATTAACTGTCTGTATCTTTTAGGCACTTAACATCGGAGGAGTGAACTCCAGTGAACCGGAAGTTGTTTCCCTAACCACTCGTCTCACCAAGAAGAGAGAGATGAACGAGGTGGTTCGAGACATTGGCATATATTGTTTGTTCTTAGTGGTGCTCTATGTTCTTGTCAATGGACCTACTGACCGTTATGCTTTCCTCCAGCAAAATTCATTGGTGAAGTCCTTCATCAGAACTGGGAATAAAACGTTTGATTTCAGTAAAAAGGTACAGTATCAGTTTGTAATAATCATTGGGGCACTTTGAAAACTTTTAATTGTAAAATTATTATTTTTGTTAATGGGACATCATTGATCAATTAAAGAAAAACAGTAGATCAAGTGATATGAATTTCATGTTGGTATCTCATACTCATGGGTCGTATTGCATTTGCGATACCGTGAAATTTCAGTTTGATTTTTAATAACACTCTGTAACAAATTATGAAACTGATACTCATCAAGTAGTTGAATGGTGGATGAAACATACAGGATGGCCCCGCATATACATCATTTCTCTTTGTTCCATGTTTTCGTTGAATCTCAATCGAGCCATTTTTCCACCTGCTAGCGATTTTCACCAGCACATGGAACATAATGAACAATGGCTCAATTTGAAGCCAATAAAAATGTGGAACACCAAAAAAGAGGTGCTCTATATGCAGAGCTCTACTTTTTGTTTTCAATGAGAACTCAAAGGAGGCTCACCTAAAATATGTGATAACTTTTTTTGTACTGATGTAAGCCTCTCTGAGCCTCAGTGATTGGTTAACAACTGCTCACTATTTTTTCTGCATAGGACTTCTTGTAGGCCCACCTGGAACTTGTCATGTCTCATTCTTATCATTAATCATCTCTCTAAAGACTAGTAAGATCCATTGCACACTTCATACTCAAGATAAGACCTATGGCTCTGCAACCTTCCCCAGCTCTTGAAACCAACTCAGTTTTGGAGTTTTAATGGAATCCCAGCTAACTTGGGGCACAACTAGTGAATATTGACCTGAGTATGGTGGCAAAGGAACTCTACTGAGCATAAAGTATGTGATGGAGCTTACTAGGGTTCAAAGAGGCGACTATTATTATGAATTATACATTCATGCAATCTTTATTCATGTAGCATTTTTTCTCTTTTTTTTTTTCTTTTTAGATTACAACAACTGACAAATATTGGCACTGGGTACAAAGTGTGTTATTACAGAATCTTCGTGCCCAGCGATGGTATAATGATGATCCTCCATATGGTCTCAGAGGATTTCTAGATGACCGAGTTAATAGGATTATTGGTTATGCAATAATTCGCCAAATAAGAAGTGACCCACGAACATGTCGAGTTGCCTATAGCATGAGAAACGTTGTGAGAAATTGCTCAGGAAGTCGAGCATATGGCACTGAGGACACTAGAAATTTCTGTAATGGGTGGTCAGTAGAGGAAAAGGTTCCAGGTAAATGCAAATATGATCAGTTCCGTTATAAGACAGAAACAGAGCTGCAGACGTATTCCACAAGGGGCTTGCTGGGTACCTATGGTGGTGGTGGCTATGTAATACAGTTGGACAATCTTGAAACAGAAGACGTAGTACAACTGCAGACTATGCAAGGTTTGGGGTGGATTGATAAGTACACTCGTGCAGTGATGCTGGAATTTTCAACCTATAATGTAAATGTAAACCTCTTTACTATATGCAGAATTGTTGCAGAGTTTAATGAAGGTGGAGGTGTATACACTTCATGGAGATTTGACCCTATTCAGCTCCTGTCAACTGGGGGAAGTTTTGAATTTATCTTGTCCGTCTGTCAAATAAATTTTTGTTGTTACTACAGTCATGTCTACTTTATGGGAACTCTGGAAGATAAAAAAAATGAAATGTGAATATTTTGCATCATATTGGCATATTGCTGAGATTTGCATTATTTTAACATCCTATGCTACAATTGCTATTTATATTTACCAATATTTTTTGATCAGAGATGCATTGGCAATATTTAATAGCACATTTGGCAATGGCTATGTCAGGATGGATGCAGCAGCACTCTACAGTCAAGTATATCTCTACTCACTGGCTATCATAGTATTTTTCTCTACTCTGAAACTCATCAAATTGCTGCAGTTCAACAAGAGGATAAACATACTGGCCCTCACCCTTGAGAGTTGTTGGAGTGAGCTTGCCACTTTCTTTGTAGCATTTGGTATTGTTTTCTTTGCTTTCTGCTGCTTGTTCTTCCTCATATTCACGAGAGGTCTAGAAGATTACTCCAGGTTCATTGTTGCGGTTCAATCCACTTTCGGAATGCTGTTAGGCAAGTTAGATCTTTCAGCGATGGTTCAAGTCAGTCCCATTGCCCCTGTATTATACTTTGTTTTTGCTGTTGTAAACACTATAGTGATGATTAACATAATGCTTACCATCATTTTGGTGACTTTCACTCTAACTAAATGGGATTTGGAATCACAAGAAAATAAGTACGACATTATTAACTTTGTATGGTCAAGAGTACGTCAGAATCTGAGGCTAGAAAGAGAACCAGATGCCAGTGTAGTCCCTGATGTACAAGATGAGTTGCAGAACAGTGCCACCTCAGATGATTCTAGTACAGAAGAACTTCCAGATAAGGTATGTATTGTTATCTCAGTTACATTATTGTTATAATTATTATTATTGTATTGTTGTTTTTATTATTGTTATTATTATTCAAAGTCATTAAAAAAGTAGGGGGTGCCTGGAGAGTGGGGAGGGGTAATATATATTTCTTTCTTTCTTTCAACGTACCGGCCGTATCCTACTGAGGTGGGGCGGCCCAAAAGGAAAAACAAAAGTTTCTCCTTTCAAATTTAGTAATATATACAGGAGAAGGGGTTACTAGCCCCTTGCTCCTGGCATTTTAGTCACCTCTTACAACACACATGGCTTATGGAGGAAGAATTCTGTTCCACTTCCCCATGGAGATAAGAGGAAATAAACAAGAACAAGAACTAGAAAGAAAATAGAAGAAAACCCAGAGGGGTGTGTATATATATGCTTGTACATGTATGTGTAGTGTGACCTAAGTGTAAGTAGAAGTAGCAAGACGTACCTGAAATCTTGCATGTTTAAGAGACAGAAAAAAGACACCAGCAATCCTACCATCGTGTAAAATAATTACAGGATTCCGTTTTACACTCGCTTGGCAGGACGGTAGTACCTCCCTGGGCAGTTGCTGTCTGCCAACCTACTACCTACATCGAGTATAGATATGTGTATAATTTTTTTTTTTATTATAAACACATCAGCCATTTCCCACCAAGGCAGGGTGGCCTGAAATAGAAAAACTCATCATTCACTCCATCACTGTCTTGCCAGAGGCATGCCTACACTATAGTTATAAAACTGCAACATTAACACCCCTCCTTCATAGTGCAGACAATGTACTTCCCTTCTCCAGGACTCGCGTCCAGCCTGCTGGTTTCCCTGAATCCCTTCATAAATGTTACCTCGCTCACACTCGAAATCCTTCTATTTCGTTCCATCCTCTCTACATGTCCAAACCATCTCAATAACCCCTCCTCAGCCCTCTGGATAATAGTTTTGGTAATCTCACACCTCCTCCTAATCTCCAAACTACAGATTCTCTGCATTATATTCACACCACACATTGCCCTCAGACATGACATCTCCACTGCCTCCAGCCTTCTCCTTGTTGCAGCATTCACAGCCCATGCCTCACACCCATACAAGAACATTGGTATACCTATACTCTCATACATTCCCCTCTTTGCTTTTATGAATAAAATTCTTTGTCTTCACAGACTCCTCAGTGCACCACTCACCTTTTTCCCCTTGTCAATTCTATAATTCACCTCATCCTTCATAGACCCATCTGCTGACACATCCACTTCCAAATATCTGAACACATTCACCTCCTCCATACTCTCTCCTTCTAGTCTGATATCCAGTCTTCCGTTACCTATTTTTTTCATTATCCTCATCACCTTACTCTTTCCTATATTCACTTTTAACTTCCTTCTTTTACATAGCCTATCAAACTCATCCACCAACCTCTGCAACTTCTCTTCAGAATCTCCCAAAAGCACAGTGTCATCAGCAAAGAGCAACTGTGACAACTCCCACTTTGTGTTAGATTCTTTATCTTTCAACCCCCACACCTCTTGCCAACACCTGAGCATTCACTTCTCTTACAACTCCATCTATAAATATATTGAACAACCATAGTGGTATCACACATCCCTGTATAAGGCCTACTTTTACTGGGAAATAATCCCCCCCTTGCCTACATACTCTAACCTGAGCCTCACTATCCTCACCAAAGCTTTTCACAGCCTTCAATAACCTACCTATGTGTATGAATTATTATTATTATAATCAAAACTAAGTGCTAAACCACCAGGGCCCATATATGTATGAAAAGGTATACTCTGTATGACATGAAGCTTGTCTTCCTGAGTGAAATGTTGTCCTATCAAAGCTTTTCCTGTCAGCATCATGAATGTACACCTCTCATGGCAGCCTAACCCCTATGTAAGAGTTCTCTTGCAATTTTTTGAGTGCTCCTTCGTAAATGTTATTATGCATCAAAGATTCAGTATTTTCATTGAAATAAAAGTATGAACATATTCTTGATAAACTATTATATTTGATAGATCTATTGATTTTTTTCAGGTGAGTCAGTTGATGAAATACATCAGTGATGTATATTTTGATGGGCAACTTAACCTCAATGACCCAGAAGCTGTGAAGCAGATTGTTCAAGGCAGATTACCTTCAGACTCCTTGCAGTCATACACAAGGAAGTTCCAAAATGCAGGACAAAAATCTGTTCCCTCTAGTGACTAATGGTTATATTTTACAAAAGGTTGTGACATGAACTATATTTTCAGTTGACTGACATTAATATATCACAATACTACAGCTGGAACCAATTAGAAATTAAAATTGGACATTTTGGTATATCTGAACCATAATGAAATTACTTAGAGATATGAATAATTAGTATACATATGTTCATGAGTCATATAATGCTAAGGGAATGAATAGCTTTGATCTGAAGGGGACGGTAGCTCTAATTCTTTGGATCAAGATTATTATTATTATTATTATAATAAAAAAGAAGTGCTAAGCCACAAGGGCTATACAGCTTTGGATCAAGAGCCTTTCATACATTTCAAAGCACTCTCCTCATTGTTGTTATTTTTTTTTTTTTTTTTTTTTTTTTTTTATCACACTGGCCGATTCCCACCAAGGCAGGGTGGCCCGAAAAAGAAAAACTTTCACCATCATTCACTCCATCACTGTCTTGCCAGAAGGGTGCTTTACACTACAGTTTTTAAACTGCAACATTAACACCCCTCCTTCAGAGTGCAGGCACTGTACTTCCCATCTCCAGGACTCAAGTCCGGCCTGCCGGTTTCCCTGAATCCCTTCATAAATGTTACTTTGCTCACACTCCAACAGCACGTCAAGTATTAAAAACCATTTGTCTCCATTCACTCCTATCAAACACGCTCACGCATGCCTGCTGGAAGTCCAAGCCCCTCGCACACAAAACCTCCTTTACCCCCTCCCTCCAACCCTTCCTAGGCCGACCCCTACCCCGCCTTCCTTCCACTACAGACTGATACACTCTTGAAGTTATTCTGTTTCGCTCCATTCTCTCTACATGTCCGAACCACCTCAACAACCCTTCCTCAGCCCTCTGGACAACAGTTTTGGTAATCCCGCACCTCCTCCTAACTTCCAAACTACGAATTCTCTGCATTATATTCACACCACACATTGCTCTCAGACATGACATCTCCACTGCCTCCAGCCTTCTCCTCGCTGCAACATTCATCACCCATGCTTCACACCCATATAAGAGCGTTGGTAAAACTATACTCTCATACATTCCCCTCTTTGCCTCCAAGGACAAAGTTCTCTGTCTCTGTATTATTATTATTATTATTATTATTATTGAACTAACTTCACAAAAAAACACTAAATTCTTGTGTACTGAAGGTTAGAGCCTTTAACGATGCTTGTTTGTGTGTTTATCATAATACATCGGCAAAATGCCTTAATCTTCAGAATACAAAACTTGACAAGAATATATACATCAAGAAATGTATTTCTCTTAGCCTATATATGCAGAGATTACTTGATTCTTATTTTAGGGATTAAAATATTCTTGCCTAGTAGTGAAACAGTTGTGTGTGCAGTAGCTGATAGTCTTTAAACCCCCATTAACCAACCTAACTTAACTTGACCATGACCTTTACAGTCTTAATGTCAAGGTCCCCTGACCTTTCTTTTAAGTTCCTTCTCAGTTATTTAATATTATTACTATGAAAACTAAGCTGTGAACTGACAAGGATCATACAAATCCTCGCAATTATTATAATCATGACAAAGTGCTAAACCCTTAAGGGTCATACAGCTTTGCTACAGCTGCTCAATTGTGGCTTGATAAGTCCATATTGATACAAAACTAGTTGAGTTTCACTTTAAATTTAAGTTCTTGTTTTTGCTTAACATGTTTGAAGAGTATCAGAATATAGCGTTATAATTATGGGGAAGCACTAAACCCATAAGGGTCATGTAGTGACTAGGGAACAAGAGGTAATCAGGATTTATCTTCAAGGTTATCTCTGTCACCATTAAAGTATGTATTTCTAATGTACCTCATTGGTGTGGCTTCTAATTATCATCCCTTCATTAGAGGTACAGTACCTTGATACAAGCAGAAGGTTCTTGAACCAAGGGATATCAATTATCTTCATCCCTGAATTGACCCTTAGGTGCTCTATGACCCATACAGTTTTATTGCTTCCTCATGAATTAATAGTAATTCTTAAGATACTGTGGAACCCGGATTTCGTCCGGTGTGGATATTGTACAATTCGGATTTCGACCAATTTTTGGGGTGAAATTTTACCCTTGGTTTCATACCTCTGCTCAGAAATTGTCTGTATCAGACGCGTCTGCCTGCCTGGGACACAGCCGCTCACACGTATGTGACTCAGTCTACCTCTGTCACTTGTTCAGTGAGCAATACTCTGTGCATTCATTGGAAACATTGGTGGTAGAGGGTGGTAGTGGTTGTGATGGTGGTAGAGTGTGGTTGTGATGGTGGTATTGAAGGCAAACAATCGAAGATGTTGAGAAGTTGTTGTTGGTGTGGATCAACGAAAAACAGTTAGCGGGAGATAGTGTTGTGGAGGCAATAATTTGCGAAAAGTTATGGCAGTTGCATGTACATCTCTTAAAGAATATGCCAACAAGAGTCTTCAATAAAGGTAAAAGTGATTTAAATGTTTATTTATCCATTAAAATTAGTGCTTTATATTTATTTCTCATTATTTTCTGTATGTAAAACTATAGTTATTGTCTATAAAATGTACTTTTTGTTAATATTTTTGGGTGTCTGGAATGGATTAATTGGATTTACATTATTTCTCATGGGAAATATGCCTTCGGTTTTCGTCCATTTTGGATTTCGACCAACCTTCTGGAACGGATTAACCCTTTGACTGTTGAGACCCCAAATCCTGAAATGTGTCTGTCACAAAATATTAAAAAAAAAAAATTCTTATGAAATAATACAGAATCTTTTCCCGGTGGTAATGACACCAAAAGTACAAAATTTGACGGAAAACTTATGGAATTACACTCTCGCGAAGTTAGCAATCTCAGGGATATGTTTGCATCAGCAATTTTGCCAACTTTGTGCCCCATTTTTGGCCAGTTCCATTGTTCCAGTTGACCAAACTCATAGCTATTTCTTTAGAACTCCAGTTGTTCTATCAATTTAGTACAAGAAACTGCCCATTTACTGATTTCAACTACCCAATAAAGTAGTCAGAATTTGGCAATTTGGCCAATTTCACACAAATTAAAAAAAAAGCCAATTTCAAAATAGGGTCCAGAATAAACAATGCAGACATTTCTGGCACTAAAATAACATTTTCTCTGTTCATTAGTCACATCTCCAGGCCCCTCTTATATTACTCTTGCTTTCTATTTTGAATTTTTAGTCACACAAAAATAGAAGCTTTACTGTTATGCAGACCACTGCATTATTGTAATAATTGTATAAATAATGTCAACCCATTCGTGACTGCATATTAGACCAGCCAGTTGGACACGTATTGGACAGTGACATCATTTGTTTACTCTTGAACATCAGCAAAGATCGAACATTTCCGCTGCTTTGAACTCAATTTCACGGCCCTTTTCATCTTGAAACCAATCAAAATCATCTCTGTTTCTGTAATATATCTTCAATTCTTTCAAATGAGACCACCCGGCAGGGTGGAAACATATCAACATGTTTCCTTACACCTGTTGTTATGTTCACCTAGCAGCAAATAGGTACCTGGGTGTTAGGCAACTGGTGTGGGTCGCATCCTGGGGGACAAGATTGAGGACCCCAATGGAAATAAGTTAGTCCTCGATGATGCACTGACTGACTTGGGTTATCCTGGGTGGCTAACCCTCCTGGGTTAAAAATCCGAAGAAAATCTTGTCTATCTTAAGAAAACAAAAATACAACCATAAATACTATCCGAAAATACACCTCAAAGTCGGCGTTTTAATCCAAAAACACGGTCGGAGTTTTTTTCCTCATTGTGCACTGCAGGGGGGGGGGGGAGGATTTTTTTTTATACTGCACACACTGACCACAAAGACCTATTCTCTCACATGTGGGCCTACCGGCTTTCTCCCGCTTGATTTGAAACCACTAGAATTTTGGCGTGTTAATACATCAAAAACACTGGCCCGTAAGACGTATATGTATGTATACAACACCGACAGTCAAAGGCTTAAGGACGAAAACCAGGGTTCCACTGTATGTACATGTATTTACTTGTACACACTCAAACTCACGACACACAAGTATGCATGCGTACATACAGTGGACCCTTGGTTGTCAGACAGAATAGTTGTCAAGCAAAGCAGTTCGATTTGGTTTTCGTACATGGTCTTGGTTGTCGACCAACAATGCTTGGATCACATAATCGGAGTCCACAGTATGGGGTCTCAGCCAGTATAGCGACTAATGCGCTTGCTGTAAACATCTCGTGAGCTCTTGGTGTTCATCTTGTGAAGGTAATGAAACCAAAAGTACTAAATTTGAGGGATAACTTACAGGATTACGCTATCACGAGATTAGCGGTATCGGCAATATTTACACATTGGCACTTTCACCCCACTTTGAGTATTATTTTGGGCCAGTTTCATTGTTCCAGTCAATCAAACTCATAGCTATTTTGCTAGAACTCTTATTTATTCTGTCGACTGAGTACAAGAAACTGCCCATTTACCTATTTCAACTACCCAATAAAGTGATATGAAATTACTAATTTGGCCAATTTCACATACAATTCAAGAAAGGCTTAATTTCAGAATAGGGTCCAGCATAAATAGTGCAGACATTCCTGGCACTAAAATAACGTATTATCTGTTTATTAATCACGTCTTCAGGCCCCTCTTGTATTCTGCTTGCTTTTCATTTTAAATTTTTATTCACAAAAAAAGATTTACTGTTATTCAGACTATTGCATAACCGTAATAATCATATAAACAATCAGTGCACTTGCGAATGCATAATAGACCCACCAGTTGACGTATATTGAACACGTGACGTGATTTGTTTACTCTTGAACATTGGCAAAAATCAAACATTTCCACTAATTTGAGCTCAATTTCAAGCTATTTTTGGTCTTTAAACCATTGAAAATCATCCCTATTTCTGTAATACATCTTCCATTCTGTCAAATGAGACCAAGAAATCGAGAATACGTACAACCATAAATACCATACAAAAATACACTGCAAAGTTCCCATTTTAAACCAGTTTTTTCTCATGCACTGCAGGCTGCATTTTTTTTTTTTATACTGCACACACTGACCATGCAGACCCATTCTCTCGCATGTAGGCATACCAGCTCTGATATTTCTCCTGTTTTGAACTGGGCTATCAGCACTGAGCAATATTCTAAATGAGGCAGCACTAGCAATTTGAAGTGTCACCATTGGCATTATTTCCCTTGTTTTGAAAGTTCTCAATACCCACCCTGTCATCTTCCTGACTGTCATGATCTTTGTCTTGTTATGGTCTTTAAAAGAAAGGTCAACTGACATAATTATTCCTAGGTCTTTTATGTGTTCCTTACATTCTATTTGGTGACCTTCTTGTTCTGTATATAGTGTCCCTTTTGAGTTTCTTCATTCTTTCCATACCTAAGCAGCTGAAGCTTATTGAATGTCATGTTGTTCTCCACTGCCCACTGGAAAACCCTTCTTATGTCTTGCATACATATATGCAAATATTCATACATAAATGCACATATGCACACACACATTTAAATTTCTTAGCTAGCAGCAGTGCAATTGATTGTTATTTAGAGGATGGGCTTAAGAGTGAAGGACCAATATCATTATTATAACCAGGTTGTTAAGTACCAACAATTTTAGTCATTAGAAGCCCTCACATATTGTGCCTTATTACATATGTGCAACATTGTTATTGTAACAGAAGTACATTATAATCAAGACTAAGCACTAAACCCACCAGGGTCATACAGTGCTGAATAGAAGTATGGTTTTTATTCTGTTCCTTGTTTATAGTTCTGTCAAAATATTATGATTTTGATGATAATTGTCATATTTGGAATCGTACATTATTAGTATTATATTTTAGGAATGCACTAAACCCATGGGTGTTATATGGCAGGGTAATCAGGTTGAATCCAAGGAAAGAGAGTATCTCCAGTTCTTTAGATAAAGGCACCTCCCATGGAGTATTTTTCATTATTCACATTGATGTGTGGTGTTTGCAGAATGAATTAAATGACCCTCTATATTTTATTAAGTAGAAGTTTTCAGTTAATTTTTTTATAAATATCTTAAGCATAAATAACTAACTGACAGCTCAGAAAATCTGTGCAGAATGCAGGAAATCCAATAAATTGTAACACTGGTAAAAATCATGTACACTAAATAAAAAAAATGCCTCTGCATAATTTTTTTTTTTTCTGGATCAGGCATGCCAAATTGTAGCTCCAAATTCTGTTGTTATATTCATAGAAAGTGCTAAATCCATATGGGTCAAAGAGTGGAGGAAGTCATACCTGATACAGTCAGTCCATTCCTGTTAAGAAGTTGGTGAACGTGTATTAAAAGTGAAATTTTGAGATGAGGATTGTGTATTAAAAATCAATCTCTAAACCCATATGGGTTATATAAGGTTTTCAGAGAAGTGGGTATCTATGTATTCACATTGGGAAGCGGAAAGATAAGCCTGTCATCACAGAATTTGGGGGAATGGGAGCCAGTCAGGTTCAATTGATGAAAGAGGCAAAGTCTAAATCCCTGGATCAAGAGCCCCTCACTAGCTCAAGAAACCTCTCGCAAGGGGCCCTGAAACCAGCACAAGATCATTTTATCTGAAGATACAGCACAGCCAGCACTGAATTCAAAAGCAAAATGGATATACAGAATCAAAGGTGTGTATCACTGTTAACTCACTTTGGGAATCAGAAGCTACACCAGAGGCAGACATATTAGTCATGATGATAGTGAGAAGTGAATAATTTCTGTGAATGTACTAGTGGCCTATAGGAGGCATTCTAGGATTACTTGGGAAAAGCAGCCAAATATCCCATCCCATCCCATTAGAGGAGTTATTGATGTATACAAGAGTAGTAGTAACATATTCAAAGTGGGGAGTGCCAAGGAGTCAGCATTCAGGGGAAAATAGGCAACTAGATGTGACCCAGCAAAAGGAAGGTTAAGTTTAATTTTTTGGATTAAGGGCCCATCTAAGGAAATGAAGGTTAGGATCAGTTCCTTGGACTAAGGGCCACACCATTATAACATTGACAGTATTAGTTACCAGCAATATGGTGGTATTAGAGAACAGGTGGTGGTTAAATGTTAGGGCAGATGGTCAAGTCTGTGTGGTGGCAGCAGTAAATTAATGCGAGATTTGTGTAACGGTAGAAGTAAAAGGCAGGATGTATATTTGTAGGGAGTTGTGAAGCATCTGAAGGTAGTATAGTCAAGAGGTAGCATCTTGTGGTATGTATATTTATACATTTAGATTTTGGAAATACATAATTCTGTTGATATTCCTTGATTATGTGGAATATGTCAGTGTACATTTGGAACCGTCTCTCTAACAAATGCCAATACAGTTTCGTTTCTGCATTAAGGGTAGTGGCAGGTAGTGTGATGCAAAAGGTGCCAGAGGAAAACGAGCAGAGGAGGAGAGTGGCAGCTGCCAATTTAAGAAGAGGTTGAAGATTAGTTGTCTCCTGAGATGGAGAGGTTAGTGTAGGTACAATGTAGTAGTGCAAGTATTTCTGTAACTGTCACAAAATGTAGGAGTCGATAGTTGAGGTAGACTGGTAGAAAAAGAAACACATTATACAGTAAAAGATTGATAGATTTTTTTGAGGTGGTGGAAGTGTAGGTGGAGAGGTAGTATGAGTAGTAGAGGGTGAAGAGGTAGGAACATTAGAGATAGGGGCTTAGAGCAGAACACTGGGCTGACTGTTAGAAGTTAGCACTAGGCACTGATGGTGTAAAGTAACAGTGGAGCAGGATATCCATGGTATATAACCTTGGAGATGGAACTAGATTACTGCCATAATATATGATACACCCACTTTTTCTCTTGTATTTTACTTTCTTTAAGGAAAACAGGCCAATGACAGGAACACACGGGGTTCTTTGCCACTGTTAAGGCAAGTAGGTGGTTTTGTCGCAGGATGAATTGTCATCGTATACTTCTCCACAGACTGGACATTGTCCATGATCTACAATATCATGCCAGGTGGCCAAAAATCCAGCATCATCATCAATACTATGGTGCTGATGGAATTCCCTTTGAAGCACTGTTGTGCAAGGTAGACTGAGCATGGGAGGTCCCAGCAATTAAAGTTAGTTTGGCTGTATTATAAATAAGAGGAAAAAACTCCTGGAAAGATAATATAGCAATAAGTTTTTATCTCTGAGTCATCTGAGAGTTGATTTGTCAGTCAGTGGATGGTTCTATGAAAGATGAGGTGAACCATAGAATTGAAGAAGGTAAAAAGCTGAGTGGTGCACTGAGGCCTCTGTAGACTTTATCCATTTAGGCAAAATAGGAAATGTACCAAATAGTAGTAGTACAAATAATGTTGCATGGGTGTGAAGTCTCCAGCCTCCTCCAGCAAGGAGGAGACTGGAGGAAAAGGCTCAAGGCAGTGGAGATATGTTCGGGGACTGTGTGGTGTGATTATACAATAGTATAGAGAATTCAAGATTAGGTGTAGAGTCACCAAGAGAATTAATCGGAGGGCTGAGGAGGAATGTTGAGGTGGTTTGGACATTCAGAGGATGGAGAAAAACAGGATAAATAGGAGGGCATATAAATCTGTAGTAGAGGGAAGGAGGGGTAGGGGTCATCTTAGGAAAGGTTGAAAGGTGGGGGTAAAGGTTTTCAGTGCTAGGGGCCTGGACATGCAACAAGCTTGTATGAGCATATTAGACAGGAGTGTAGGCAAGAGGCTTTTCTTATAATTTAACATGCTGTTGAAGTGTGAGCAAAGCAACATTAATGAAGGGATTCAGAGAAACCAGTCAGCCAGACTTGAGTCCTGGAAGTGAGAAGTACAGTGCCTGCACTCTGAAGATTATTATTATTATAATCAAAAAGAAGCGCTAAGCCACAAGGACTATACAGCTGCACTCTGAAGAAGGGGTGGGGATTTTGAGGTTTGGAGGGCCATCTGAACTTATGTTGACTCCCTTCTGGCAAGAAAGCGATTGACTATCAATTGAAAGTGCTTTCTTTGTCAGATCACCCTACTGCCATTAGCTTAAGAGTTAATTACAATAATGTCTTTCAGATATACTTTAAGTAAAGCACTGATTTAATAAACTTTGGAAATGCAAAACAAAATCCTCTGGGTTGATTTGGAAACAACAAAGTGAGTTGTTTACAGAATTATCAGTTATTGATATGATAGCATAACAACTGCATCTCTTCACCACAGTTAATCACCACTGTCAGCCACATGTTCTCCCCTATTAGTCTGTTAACTCTATAGTTTACTGTATTAAACCTTGATCTTACTAATACCTTAAATGTTTTTCTGCCCTTAACAGGAATTAGCATTTTATTAAGAAAGCCTCAGTTGGGAGTGTTGTATGCTGTGGAGAGGCTGAGTTTATCACTAATAACTAAGCATGATTATGCTGTATATTCAAAAACAGATTATTTCTGTACCACAAAATCCAAACCAGGATATCGTGTATTTTTTTAATCACAGTTAGTTTGTCTTGTTGAAAATAAAAAAAAAATGTTATTTAACTTTCATTTAATTAGCAAAGAAAATGCAAGCTTAGTGACTCTCAGCAGAAAATTATAGACATAAATGAGGTATTTCCAAGTCAGCTACAACCAAGTTGTTAGGTTGCATATTTTTTACTTTGATAAATACAGTACATTTATACTTATGTACAAGCATAAAAGTTGCATTATCATAGTATGTTATACTATGACCCACTAATATTACCTTCTATCATAAGAAAATAAGTTTTGTTTCTTCAGTAATGTAGAAATGCATACATTGCTCCCTTCAGCAACACATTCATGTAAAGAAAAAACTCCAACACATCAATATACAAGCTACCTCAAAAGTCAAATTAAAATCATACAGCAGTATGCAATTTCATCTTAATTTACAAAACGTCCTCTTCAATAATCGTACTGGTTACAGTGAAACAACCTGGCAACTCTAAGACACAGCAACAAAAAATCTGATATTTTTGTATTTACAACAGCAAAGAGAATGCCAGGATTTTGATTACACAGCATTATTTCTTTTCTATATCACAAAATATTAATGTCCCATTCAATATATCTATCATTATAATTTCAACCTGGTAGAAGTTATATAGTGTATACCCTGAATATCTGTTTCTCTCAAAATACTGTACATTACATTAAAATCCCCCACTTGACTTATCGTAACTGAAGCACAGGTACAGTACTCCTTGGCTCTGGACAAGGGATAGCATATCCCAGAGAAGCTCATTTTGAGTGGAATTCATTAAGAGTGAACCAAGTTTTCCATAATATAGTAAAGAGTTAGGTTTCAGAATCCACGTATAAATCCAGAATCCACGTATAAATCCACATATAAATGTCATTTTAATGAGTTGTTCTGAGTCAAAACTGACTTGCTTTAAACCCTTCATGAACACCATCCAGTAGTAACACTGGTATAATTTTAAACTATAAAATTATTTAATTACATATTAACTTGTGCTATTATATTTAGTAGTACAGTACTGCATTTTGAAAACTAAAACAGACAGCAAGTTGAAAAGCAAAATGCTATTAATTTGATGCAACACAGCTTAGAACATTCTGGGTTTGGACTCTGGTACTGATCAATATGATCTTTTTTTTTTTTTTTAATCCAATACAAGACAATTCTCACTGACATTGCATACTAATTTCAGCCCGAAAGTAACTAATTTATCATTATAATTATACAACAGAAGTACAGTGGACCCTCGACCAGCGATGGCATCGATTAACGAT